TAAACATGTGAATGCCTTGCATAGTGTTCATTCTTGCTGGGTTATAAATTAGTGTAATCACAGAAGGTAATGATGTCTGACACTTCACAAACACAGCAGAAAGGGAAAAGCTTATTTGTGCAAGTGGCACTCTCTTTATACCATATTTTACAAAGCAATTTCTTCTCTAGAAGCAGCATCCTGCTGCCAAGCTTTGTGTTTGCTATGAATGTACTTGAAATATATGAAGGTACAGGACACAGGTTTGACCTTCTCTTTGCTTTAAGTGCCCATTTTAAACAGAATAGTTGGTGACAAGCAGCAACCCCCCCTTCTCAAATGGAGCAGCACTGATCATTCAAACAGTTCTGTCATCCTTTTCTGGGGCAGAACAGAAGTGCCTAAAGGTTATGTTTATAAAAACCCCTTAGGTAAAGAAACCATAGACAACTGTAGGACTCTGTAGTCTCTTTCCTTGTGCATAAATCAAAAGAACAAGAGCCTCTCCAAAGCTCAGATGTTAAATCAAAATACCTAACTAGTCCACTACCCCCAGGCTGAGCTGCAGAGCTGACTAAGGAACCTTCATGTATAAACAACAGTAAATGATAAATCTGAAATTCAGCTGCTTACTCACACACCAACACCTTCAGTCAACAATTCCAGTTGCTTTTGAGATGTCTGGACAAACTAAATTTAGATTGCTGAGAGATTATTTCCACTTACCAATGCTCAGGAAAACCTTGTCTTCTCAAGAAGCACAACAGACTATACTTTCCCTCTCAGAGCAGATAACATCATTCAAAATGAAGAATGTTGAAGTCAAGATCCAGGAAAAACAATCTATAGATTGAACCTAGAAGTTCTGATGCACAGTCAGCTGCTACATGAACATCTCAGCTTTGTACTAAAAGTCACTTGAGTCCTACAGCCCTAGAAATCCTGAGCACACCTAATTTATGTCACATGAACACAGATTTCTACAGTAAAAGATACACATCCACACAAATGAAAAGCTTTTAACACGTGTAAAGACAGGAAAGACTGAATGTCACAATCTCTATTTTGCGTTGCTTTGACTATGCAATGCCCCAAAGGTGCTTCTCAGTATTTTTTTTTAAACAGTGTAACTCTGCTTTTAAAATGAGGACTGAGGCCAGGAGATAAATGTATAGTTCTTATTCAAATATAACAAATGGCTGCATGAGCTTCCTCATGTCTTATTTAGCTTTGCTCCACACTGGCAGGCCTCAGGATACAAAAATGTACTTCCTAAGCAGAACACACTCCCCTAGACAGGCTGCAGAACAACTCCTCCACCTCATCAGGCAGGACCCTGGCAATAAAGAGAGGAAGACAATCTGAAGGAATTGAAAAGATCCAAGTGTCTGCTTGGCTTTTTTCACTGTATCCTGTCCTTCTGGACACACAGGCAACAAATACACGTGACTGTGGTTTTCTGCTTCCTTCAGTTCCTCCTCACTGTGACACAGGGCTGAACACCCCATTTCTTTGTCATACAGATCTCCAAGATGCTGCTCTTGCTGCCACTTGTTTTTGCTGAATTTCAAACTGATGACAGAAACAAAACATATTCAATCCATGCAAAATAAATCAATTTAAAATCTTCTACTTGGCATGTATTATATATATTGATTATATTTTCATAAACTCATTTTAATAAAAAAAAAAAAGGCATCAAAATATATTTTACCTGGACATCATAAAGAGCTACAATGTTCTCGTGCTGAAGTTCCTGTAAAACAAGATATTTGTATCATGGAAAAAGGTTATTAGTGTTACTAATACTATTAATAATTGAATTTGCTGATAATGCTGGTTTGGTGATAATCAAAGAGAATGTTTTTAAGATGATCAGATGGAATTTAGAGAAAACCACAGCTGTTTAGACAATATTTACAGGATAAGGAAGTTAGGAATTATCTTGAGAGGTCATAAAAAACATTTGGTTCCAGAACTTAATGTTTGTGACTTGTTACAGAAAGTACCAGAGCACAAAATCCTCTACTGAGCACTAAAAACTGACAAGATTTAATTTCCTAGTTTTATATAATTTCTTACTTAGTGAAGTAACCAACTAGACCATGTTCAAATCAAGCTTATTTTTATAATACAAAGAAAATCAAAGCAAATAACATTAAATAAGACTCATGGGACAGCTCATGAATTATTTGTAGTTGCTCAAAATAACTTTTTAAAGTTTTTAACTTACAAAAATTAAAAGTTAAGTACTTGCAGCACACTAATATACCAACACTAATTCTGGTATATAATAAATAAATGAGAATATAATATGTATATAAGGTAGTCATGTATCTCAAGAAGGTCAGAAAGATGGAAAGAAAGCAGCACTCAGTATTACTGCAAAGCTGTGTGAAATGAGATGTGAAATTCAGAGAGCTGGGAATGCTAAATGACCACCCAAGGAGATGTTTCCATAAAATAACACTGAAAAACTCAAAGATGCTCCATTACATTTCCTCTGTTAGAGCCACACTCCACATTTTAAGGTAATTATCACAAGTCAGAAGTGGGCAGCTGCTTCAGGAATTAAAGGCAGCTCACTGGTTTCAGCTTTCAAGGCACCTTTGAGCAAAAAAGATGAAGAAAGATCAAAGACTGATGCTTCACCCTCAGCTATGATCTGCTGGGAAAAGGTGCCTCATTGGCCATCCTGAAGGACAGTCTTCCACATGAGCAATAAGCAAAGCATAGAGACTGCTTCCACAATAATTTGCTATTTTTAACTGCAAAGGCACGCTCACGACCTGTTCTGAGACATTTCCAGAACCAAAGTATTTTTTTTTCTGGTTTTCTTAGTATTTTTATTTCTGGATCCCTAACAAAGAAACAGCACAACAGCAATTACTGTGATACCACCCATGACCTGGAATGAACTAGGTCAGAAGTCTCTTTTCCTTTTCAAGCAAAGCAGCTTTAAAAATCACTGCAAATTAACATACCTTTAAGATTTTTATTTCTTTTCCAAGGAGGATTTGTGACTTCGACAAGTTCTTTTTGTTAATACTCTTTATGGCTACTTCCCAATCAGTTTTCTGGAAGTGAACAAAAAAAGTACTGTTAGTTTACTTTTTTAAAAAAAACCTTTATCCTCTAACAACTATCTAGGAAAACACTGAGAAAAAGTTCCAAGATGACCCCTCTTCTACCAACCAGTTATTACTACATCATGTGACACCATCAAGAACTATTTCATTCCACAATAGCTTAGAAAGCTATTAAAATCCAGCTTCAGCTACACTGCATTTTAATGGATTCCAAAGCATTAAAACAAAAAAAAAGAACAAAACCAACAAGTAATCATACCCTATTTATTTTTTGGTAGCAGCGCTATATGTCTGCTATTTTAGACCTCTCACAATGATCAGGTTACTTTTACTGTCATTTAAGGACTTCTCATTTTCAGCTTTTTTATACTCTGGCGATGAAAACTGCACAGAACCCCCTCTGTTTTAAGCAAGCTTATATATTGTCTATTTATATATCATCCAAAAATAAACTATTTACTTGTGAGGTGAGAGCACCTCCATTGGCCTTTAAAGTTTCCGTTTCCCTTTCTCATTTTTATTATTTTTTTAACCCCAAAATCACTGCAGAGTCGTGAGCTCTGCCTTAATCCTCCAAAATGCTAAATCTCAAGGGTTCTTTTCAGGAAAGCAAAGCTCTTTAGGCACCAGAATAAACTCACAGCATCAAGAAACCATAACGTAACTATGAATATCCGGGGCGATGAGCAAGTCACGCCAGGAAACCAGACACCTCTGAATTTAAGAAATCCTCAGCCAATCCCAAAGGAGACAATTTTCCATTAGATCCCTCGTTATCCAGCGAGATAAACATGACCCTCCCGACAAACAAAGGGCTCAGCCTCCCCTACAGCTGCAACTCTCCCCTCGCCGCTATGGCAGGGAGCTGCCAACAGCGGGGAGGAGCGGTGGGACCGCGGACAGGCCGGTGGGCTTGCGGGAAGGGGAAAAAAAATAAAGGATTTATGGATCCCGGCTCAGGGCCGCGGGGCAGCCGCGGGCCTCAGCCCACCCGCACCTCCCTTCGGCTGTTTTTGCCCCCCGAACACCCAAACCACGTCAAAACTCCCCAGAGGACACAGCCCCCCACCACCGCAGCTGTCACCCAGCCGAGGGGCTCCTGCCGGCCCCGGCTTGTGTAACCAGCCCCGCTCCGGCTGCGCTGTTTACCTTGCGGTGGCGACCTTTGAAGACCACAGCAAAGGCTCCGTGTCCTATCAGGTCCTTCTTGCTGTACTCAAAGTCCCCCACCACCTCCATCATCCCTCAGCGGGGCATGAAGCCCCCGGGAAGGACGAAGGGAAAACAAAGGGGCTCTTCCTCCAGCTACAGCCGCCTCACGGCAGCCGGCGGCGGGCTGGGAGCCTGCCCCGGTCCTGGCTGCCCCCGGCGGCGGGGGCAGCTCCTCTCATAGCGCCGCAGACCCCCGGGCCGGCGGGGCTGCTGCAGGGCGTCACCGAGGCGAGGGGCTCCGTCGGGCATGGGGAGGGGAACGAGAGGAATCTCAGGGTGTGAGGGGACAGGGCGGCATCGGCGCCGGGACCAGGGGCCTTCTCAGCGGGGAAGGGGGCTCCGTGCCCTGCCGCTGCCCGGCCCCATGGCCCCGCCACAGCGGGGGCTGCCAGCGCCGCGGCCCCGCTCAGGGACCGAACCCCAGAGCATCCAGCGACGCGGGGGGAGGCGCGGCCCACGGCTCCGGGAATGGCTGTCGCTGTCGCCGCCGCAGCCCTCGCGAGAGGGGAGGAAGCAGTGAGAGTGCGGACGGGAGGGTCTCTCAGGCCGCCAGCGCCTCTCGGGGCTCCTGCCGCCCCACCACTTCCTCCACAGAGATCCGCACTCGGCCAACCTCGGCTGCGAGTGCCCGGCCCTCTGCACCGCCCCGCGGTTCTTATAAGCCGCAGTGCGCAGGCACGGGCGTTCGGGCGCTTCCGCCGGCGGCCAAAGAGTGCCTCACCCCGCGTAACCTGTGGTAACCCTCCGCCGCCAGCGCCTCAGAGCGGGGCCGGAGCGCGGCCATTGCCCCGAGCGCTCCCCACACTCGTCCCGTCACGGGGCCGCTCTGGTCGTCCTCTCAGTGAGGACAGCGACCCAGGCCCCTGGGCACACCCTTGCCTTCACGCCGGGGCAGAGAGGCCAAAGTCAGCCCGCCACGCCCGGCCATCACCTCAGCCCTTTCCCTCAGGCGCACCCGCCGCTGAGGGCAACGCTGAGGAGCCACCAGGGGAAGAGGGAGGACCGGAGTTGTACAGGACAAGAGCTGGGACAGTCAGCAGCACGGTGGGAAGGCAGGTATTGGATCATCCCCGGTTTCCAAGGCAGTGGCACTGTTTACATAGCACCTCCAGGTCACTCACTCTCAGCCCTGTCCCTGCTCCAGGTCCCTCACTCTCAGCCCTGTCCTTGCTCCAATAGTGAGCAAGACTCTCCCTCAAACCTGAAACAAGGAATTCCAATGAATGGAGAGGCAGTGGAGGAACAGGCATACAAAGTGCTGTGAGCCAAAGACACTTGGAGTTGTTCGCTCCCTTTATAAGGAGAACAACGCTTGTAATTTACAGCCCCTGCCTCCCAGCACTTTTAGATCAGCCTGGGGCTGTTTACAGCACGTACAAACATTAAAAAAAAACCCAACCCGCCACCGATCAACAGTCACATGAAGCCTTTGACCTTCACCTCCAGGTTCACATAATTGTGCTCCATTCCTCTGGGTTCCATTCCTCACTGCTCTCTTCCCCCCCCTCTACCCATGTTCTCCACCACACCACCTCCACATCCCAGATTCAGACCCTTTCAGGCTTCTCCAATATCCCCACGGGCCCCAGTGGATGCAGGATGCTGTGACCCCTCTGACCCCACACCGCTGTGCTGTGCCTCCCCTGACGTGACCCAGGCTCTGCTTTCAGTGTCACCAGATCAAAATAGAGACTGAGCAAAGAGTTCTGCAGTTGGGCCTCTCCCCATTCCTCACTTATCTCCCTTGGCTTTCCAACACTCCAAACCAGGCACTACTGGAGCTGCGTGCCATGCCAGGACCTCCTCAGCTAAAGACTTCTCCACAGACAACAAACTTAGATGTAAAAAATATCCAGCAAGAGATTCTTAAGCAAAGATTGACAGCTCTATGAAAGACATTTTAAGCTATCAGAGGAATCCTAAGAAATCTGTTTTGTGCCAAAAAGAACCAAAGGGCTTTAAAACCCCTCAAAACTGAATCCTCCCTTTATTTGGTGAAGTTTTGAGCTCCCACCCAAAATCCACCCATGGCACTACCCTAACAAACAACACCAAGAAAGTGGAGTTAACCAATAATTTCAATACCTCAGAACATCCCTGTGGAAAGAATAAATGAGATGTAAAAATATTCCAAGTTAATCATAAATTAAAGTGTTGGTAGTAACAGACACTTTGTGATATGCTTCACAGTGCCCCGTTAAACCAGGAAAAAGCCCACAAGCTTCCATGTGTTACATATTCTGATTCATAAAAATTATTTCCTTCAGAACTGGTTGTTTATTGCCATCCACCAATTCTCACTTCAGTATTAATCCTCTCAGTGTCAGCGTGTATCCTCACCCCAAAATCAATGTCACGAGCTACATTTTAGGGAAGCTGAGAACCAAATTCATTCAGAAGATGCCTTTTGAGCAGATAAAAGTCACAACAGCCATTACTACCCATTCTGCATCCCACTTGCGAACCGCGACGTGTCTCGACACATTTCCCCGACACATTTCCCTTCCCTTCGGCAGCAGCACTGCCTCATGTCCTTGTCCTCCTAATGGGGCTGGAGCCCTGGAGCAGGTTTGTTTCAGCACCGCAAGGACAAACAGCCAGGAGCGGCAGCGAGGTTTGACCGGAATAACAAAACACCCTGCGCTGGGATCCCAGCGGCTCCCGAGGGCTCCAGCAGCGCTCGCTGGAGGCTGCGGGATTTGCATGCGGGTCACTCCTCCCAGCTGGGAGCTTCTGGGTGTCGGTAACTCCAGCATCCACACTACAAAGAACCTACAAACAGCATCCTCACTTGCTTTTGATGCGGGAAGAGTTCAGAGGCAGAACGGACTGGATTCACCTTTCCCAAAGGGAGCCTCGCTGCCGGAGATGTTGGGAGAGCGATGCAGGATAATCCCATGGAGCTCGTGCTGCTCCTACACACAGATATCCAGCATTCAGCCCTATATGCTGCAGCACCCCGGGAGTGCTCTGCTCTAACCATGCAGCAGGACACTAAAACATCCAGTGCACCTGCCTGATCCACCCCGGTGATCCTTCAAAAACACGGAGCACTGTGTCCTGAGCTGGTTCATTTTTAACATCACGCTCTGCAGGAGCTGCAGCCCACTGAGAGACCACTAGCAGCCCACAGTTCTGCAACCACCATTCAGAGAGGGAAGAAAACAGAACAGCAGTGCTGGAGATGGCACTGGGGCTCCTTCCCAGCTGCACCACCTTGCTTCAAATTAGTCCCTCAGTTGTGAGCCAGGATTTCTGATCACAAGAGCAACACATCTAGGAAGGAATTAGCAACTTCCAGGTTGGTTGTCCAAGTGCAGAGAAGGATGCTTTCATCTGGTAGCAGCTCCACAGAACACAGACATCACTGCCCTGAGTTCTCTTAACACTTTTCATCCTCAAAAGCACTCATGGACTTTGCAGCAAGCCCTTCTCTACCATACCACACCAGCAAAATGCAGCCCTGAGGTAGAAACATCACCTGAACAACGCCTGGGCTGACCCAAAACAAAAAGCAGAACAAAGCTGCTTTTCCTACTTTTCATGCAAAACAATGAATGAGGTTCATTTTCTTCCTGTTCATTGAAAGATTTTTTTCGTCTCTCTCTCTCCCCCCAGGCTATAAACTTGCACATGGAAATTAAATTACAGATCTGGGAAAATATTCAAGAGATCATCTGAGTCAAACAGGACAGGAACGTGTGGCTCCAAGGACCCAGGGAACACAGCCCCAAGAAGAGTTTTCACGTGGATTTTAAGGTGTCATTTATCTAAATCAGCTCCCAAAGGTAGGAGTCTGACAGCACCCTGCTCACCTCAGAGCTATCGACTTCACTCCAGGTGTTCTGACCATATCCTTCCTTCCCTCCCTCCATCACACTCAGGATTTCCTTAGACAGGTAAACCTTCCTCAGAGGACTGGCAGACTTCCCAGTCCTTATCACTACTGTCCTCCCATTGGGATTTGTAACAAAATTAATGGTGGCATCAGCTGAGCTTTTAAAGGAGAAAGTGTTAGAGGGCTCTGTAGGACAGTTTCTGGCTATGCTTAAAATTATTCTTGTATTACCAGTGAAAAATAATGCCCTTGTGGTAAGAAAACTTGTGTGGGATGCTTAATGAGTAACTCAGGAGGAAGTGGACTGAAACATGGAAGCAGATCCCAGGATTCCTATCAAACAGCACTGGAAAAGCTCAGGCATTTCAGTAGGTTTTCTGTAGGGCTGGTGCTGCTTATCCCAGAAAAGCAATCACAAAGCTCCAGCCTACCTCCTAGATTTGTCCTTTAACACAAAGTAACAGCTTCCCCATTAATAACGCCATCAACCCAAATTTGCATCTGCAATTGCCCAAATTAGCTAATTAAAGCTCCCATCCCCAGCGTGGCGGAGTGAGGGAGGTCACGCGCTGCTGCAGCTCCTGCCAAGCAGGAGCCAGCTCTGGAGGGAAGGACAGCAGCTCTGCCTTCCCCAGTGCCTGAGCAGGCAGTGACTGCAGCCAGGCCCGGGAAATGCCGCATTCAAATAAAACTGGGAGGGAGGAGTGTCAGGGAATTGCTTAGGAATACAGCTGGAGCCAAGCCAGCACTTAGTATGCATGCAGGCTGGTGCTGTATGAATGGTAAAAATAGCAGCAGATGCTTAGATAAGAAAATACAATTTGGTTTACATGCAAAGCCATCACAGAGCGTGGTTCAAAAATCTACCCGCTATCAGATGACAGGAAGATTAAGGCCAAGAGCTTATTTTGGTGTAAATTTAATTGCAAGGCCTTCTCTTTCTTCAAGAGGTCTCACTTCACTTTGGAAAACCTTTCTGCTCCAGCATTAGAAAGGTGAGTTTAATTGAGGCATTATGTCACAGAAGCAGAGTCTGAAGGGATGGCAAGAGTATGGTCAAAGGGCACAGTGATTGCTTTGGTTTGGAAATCAGTGGGCAAGGTACACTGATATTTTAGGTACACCTACACACATGCACAGCCAGCCTAGTTCCCACAGGCAGGATCACATCCCTGAGCTCTGATACATTCCTGCCTCCAACACAAAACACACCCTGGACTGACAGGACACAGTGACCCTGTGAAGCAGAGAATGATTCTTCACTCAGGAAGAGCCACCTGCAACCAGGAGCAGCTGCTTTGCAACAAGTCTGACTTGGGGACAGAGCTGAACTCCCAAGGGTGGTTCATTTCCTTTAGCACAAGCACCCCAAAAAACTTGGAAACCAGGCAGGCTTCTTGGCTGTCACCAATGACCTGCTCCTCTTCTTCCCAAGGGAAGATTTATCAGCTAGCTTTAAACCACCCTGTCCCACATTTACCTCAGTGAATTACAAAAGGCTTTGTTTATGCAGTGGCCTTCACTGTCAGCAAGAACCAGCTGGAGGAAGCACCCTAATGAAAGAGCAGGTATGGGATACTGAGCTCTTCCCAAAAGATCCCATAGAGATACCTCCCTGCTGACTTGGCTGGCAGAAGGAGATACTCACAGGAACTACAAATTGTCTTCTCAGTCATATCAAAGATTTAACCCTTTTTTCCAGTCTCTGTCTCACCTGAACACTTGCAGACAAGCAAAAGGCCATTACTGCACAATCTTAATTCTCCAAAGCAATCCTGCCAGCAGGGATAAAGTCCTAAAATGCATCTTCTGCAGCTGGGAAGCATTTGAGACCCAAACTCCTGTTCTGAGTTGTAATAATCACTGCATCTGAAGGCTATGGGGAATGTTTTGACCTTCATGCTAACCCACTGCAACTAAATCTGACAGTATAATTTCTGCTCCTTATTAATCCCATCTTGATTTTCTCTGTTTCATAAGCATTCTGGAAATAAACATTTAGTCCAGGTCTATTTACCTCATGATGGCTGGAAGCCCAAACTGACTGATAAAAAGGCTCATAAGCAAATTTACAAATATACCCAGCTAACAGTGTGAATCCCTCTCACCCACTGGGCAAGTAAATGCACTTGAGAAATTCCAGGAGGAGCCAGCTCTGTGCAATGGAAGTATTGCTATTTTCTGTATTGGTCCCAGTCCTGCTGTTAACACGTATCCAGGGCAAGGGACAAGTGGCACACAAACTTCCTGCTCCATTCTTCCCCACCCTGTTCTTCCTTCCCCCGAGCCAGTGGTGGATGGGAAATGGACACTCACTCCCCTGTTCAGAGTCTCATTTTCCCATTCCCAAGAGCTGCTGAAACCTGAAAACTCAGCGCAGCTCCAGCAGTCATTTGAAGTCCAGGCCTGTTGCATCCTGAACAGATTAGCAAAGGAGTTATCTGCTGTGGATGCAGAGGATCACTGGCAGATAATGCTCAGCACAGCCTGCAGGGAAATGGGATTGTGTGGAAAGGCAAAACCTTAGTGGAATAATGAGAAGCCCCAAGTCCTCATTCTCAGCATATCTTTGTCCCAGATCATGCAGCCAAGCAATTCTGCAATGGAATGATGTGCTGAATTTTCCCATTTTTCTCTCTCTCTGAAGGCCACACAAGGACAATCCTCTCTGTTCCCACAAAACCCTCTTCTCCACAGGATTCTTCACAGAGCAAGAAAGGGCACGAGCAGTCTCTGCCCTTCGCTTGCCCCTTTCAGGACAATGGCTACTGTGAAGCTGAAATTCCAATAAAAACCTAGTTGAAATGGTGGCAGATGAGATATCCCTCCTGTGATGTTCAGAGGAACTCATCCTGCAATGTACAGCTCTTAATAAGAACTAAATTAAAATTTCCTTAAATAAATATAAAGAAAGAGTCCATGAGGAAGAGTTGCCAGTGGGAACACGGAGCCGTGTTTGGGTCAATCTCTTCATCCATCTCCTTGGAGATCTCCCAGGACTGTGCTGAGGGCAGGACCAGCAGCTCCATGTCACTGTTCCTATCGACGCCATCTGGAAAGGGAAAGAGCTGCTGTGTCCCTGTGGTGGGGCACAGCTCTGCCACAGGGCCCAGCAGGCACCAGACAAGAGCAGCACCGCAGGGACCTGGGGTCACCAGCCACAGTCAAATGGCAACCAGCTCCCAGGAATTTGTCTGCATAACTGAGAGGGAAGAAGGTCAGAAAGGAAAACCTGATCAGCTGGTGCAACTGTTCCTTTCCCTCTCCAGGAGTCAAAATATCTGAGTCAGATTTCATCCTGACTGCTTGGTTGGAGAGGCTCTGCTTTCTAGTTATCTCCCAGCTACAGTTCCTGCCCTGAGAGAGGTCAGGTCTCCCAGCTGGAATCTGACACAGTGCTCTCTGCAAGGAGATCATGCCCTAACCACACAGGTCTCTGCAAGGGCACTGTGGCTCTGAGGGACACACGGAGTAGCTGCAACATCCTCGTGGACACACAGGTTACTCACATCCGCAAGCACTTGTCCTTCCCTCCGCTCGCTACCCTCTGTCCGTCCGGGCTCCAATCCGCTGCATACACCTGGTGTGATGGAAATCAGTCACCTGTGCTGGGAGGAGGGCTCACTGCTGCCTCCCAAACAGCCCAGCTCCACCAGGCAGCTCACCTCATCCGCATGGCCAGGCAGATCCACGGCCAGTTTCTTTGTCTTGGCATCCCAGACCTTGAGGGTGCTGTCGCTGCTGCCGCTCACCAGCAAGCGGCTGTCGGCTGACCAGGCAATCTGGTACACGGCCGAGACGTGGCCCCGCAGCGACGTCAGGTACCTGGGGATAAGGACAGGCTGTCAGAGCAGCAGGCTTTGTTCCAAACTTGCCCTTGCCTGCATGTTTCTTCTCCACCAGCACAGTCATAGGATGCCAAGCACACTCCAGGCAGTCTTGCTAGACAGAGTCCATCCAAAAACCCTCCCAAGTGGGCTCAGAATCTTCTAGAGGATGCCTCCTCATCTCACCCCCTCAGACAAGAGACCTTTATCCAGCAGGCAACACTTCAGCCTCACTGCACAGATGTGTCCTTCCCTCTCTGGCTAAGCAGCCCACATTTAGAAGGGCCTTTAAAATCACTGACATGAAAGCCAAGCTCATGAGAGTTCAGGTTGGTTTGCAAGGGAGGACTGCTGCCTGCAAGAGCTCACCAGTACTGCATATGAAAGTTAAAAGCTGGATTACAGGAGCATCCAAATACCAACAGCACTACTTGTAACTACAAGAATTTGCATCATCCAGAACAAGCTGTTCTCTGGCACAAGAAGTGTTTAAACTGGGTCAGTCTCCAGTTCCCAACACACACATCTTCAGGAGATCACTGGAGTGGAACATCCCATCCCACCACAGCTGCGCCTGCCCTGAGAACCGACGCTGCAGCAACAGGGTGTGCATACAGGTGCCAGGCAGTGCTGTGGCTGAGTCACAGTGGGGCTGCACACAAAGAGCCAAGCACAGATACCCTGACACAAGAAAAGCCAGACAAGAGACTTCCCAAGAGCAGAAAAAGGCAGAGACAGCAGAGTGACTTTGTATGAGTTGAAGCTACAGAGATGCTGAACACACCAGGAAGCTGCTGGCAATGAAGTGGGGCCCAGCCCTGTGTGCCCTGAGCATTACACACAGACTCCATAACAGCACCACCTCTAACAGAACAAACCAACTCACTTTCCTGTCCTGCCATCCCAGAGCTTTATGGACTTGTCAAAGGAAGCACTAGCTATTATCCGGGTGTCTGGCGAGAACAAGACTTGGTTAATCAATGCCTGGTGGCCTGTCATTCTCTCGAGTGGCTTCTTGTCTTCTGCCGGTCTCCAAAGAAACAGGGTGAAATCATCTGACCCTGAGACAAGCCTTTCTGGTTCCTGACCCTGAAAAAGAGATGAAAGAATCCAAATTTTGTACAAGTCAGATGTGGAGAGCTTGGAAGCACAACAGTGTTGGGGTGTCCACTGCTTTCACCAGTGACAGTGTTAGAAGTGACAGCAGGGACAAAAAGGACTTACCCGGACTTGGTTGTACCTCTGCAGTGCCCTGTCTTTCAGTTCTGACACTGAAAAAGGGAAAAGGAGGGTGAAAGAGAGATTGGCAATCCTTAGATGAAAAGAAATTGTATCACCTTGTCATGCCAATTCCAATCCTGGCTCTGCGGGTTTAGCAGGAGCATTTGTGACCACTCAATTTGCCAAAGACAATTTGGGAGCAAAAGCCCTGGAAAACAGAGTGACCTCCCCATCCCCCAGACTGTTCCACCCTGGCATGGGCAAGAAAAATCTTGACTTCCATGCATGGAAAAAGCATGACCAGCAGTCCTCCCCCAGCCTCCAACGTGGGTGCTGCACTCACAGGAGCCTCTGACATCCTGGGGGTTGATGGTGGCCTCGGCCGGCTCGAAGGCGCCGGTGCGGAGAACGTAGTCGGTGCTCAGGGCCATGGTGTTCACCCAGTGAGCGTGGCCCTGCAGGGTGCGGCACAGGACCCCCTGGGGACAAAGCCACCCTCAGACAGGGACAGGACACAGCCAGGCTGCACAGCACCCACCAGACCCACCGGGCTGCAGGAACCAACCCGAAACTTTCCAAACATGCTCGCCCCAGCTGCAGGCAGGCTAAGCAGGGAAGACTGCTGAGCTTCAAGAATCAGTTTCTCTTGCAGAACACCCATCAGCTCAGGTTGCTGCAGGGATCTTGCCAGCTTTTAGCCCCATTTAATGCTCTTAAGGATGAAAACATCACACAATAGATACTCCTTGCAAATGGTGCCAAGCAACAGGTCTGACAGGTCAAGAAGATACAGCAGCTCTGTTTTTCAGGGCACAAGCTGTGCCAGGAAGAGCAAAGCTACCCCACAGTGCGCCCAGCCCCCTTTGCCAGCAGCCCAAGGGCAGTCCCTCACTTACATCCTGGCTCCTCCAGACTTTGATGGTCCTGTCCTGGGAGGAGGAGTAGAGCAAGCCGTCACCCCCCCACTTCACACAGGTCACCGACTGCGTGTGGCTTGTGAGGATTTTGTCACACCTGCCCATCAGCGTGTCCCAGATGCGGATGCTGCCGTCCTTGGAGGCACTGGCCAGGTAACGGCACTCTGGGTTTCTGGGCAAAGAGATCAAATCCATTTGTGCAGCTCCCCTGAGCCCCAGAGGACTGCAATAAAATGCAACTTTCTTTTGGCTTAAGATCAGAGAGAGGCCAGACAGGGGCAGAGCACTGACCTACAGGGAACAAGGTCTCACAAGGCAGGGGAGAGGCAGACAAATGCTTCCTCCAAACCAACTCCTGGGCTGCACAACACAGGAATCAATCCAGGGTAAACCTGGCAGCTGAGGCCTTGGCAATGACCTTGCTTGCACATCTTTAACCCACTGGCTAAGGAGGTCACCATGAACTGGCACCTTCCCTGGGCACAGACTGGAGGGAGCCCTGGGCAGCGGATCAGCCTCATGCAAGGACAGATCCATGGCATTGGGAATGTGTTGGATGTTCCCCTGCCTCTGCCATGCTTCATGCCTGTGGACAGAGTGCTGTTGTGTTGACAGGGCTGAAAGGAACACTGTCCTTCCACATCCACTGTTGCTGAGGGGCCAAATTGAACACATCTGGAAGCAGCTGGCCACAACCCAGCAAGGACAGGGCAGCCACAACCCTCTGTCCTTTGCACATCTTTATTACCCTGCATGGTGGCACCAGCAGTGAGGAAGAGCACAGCCCCTCCCATTGGCACTGGAACTGGCTGAAGAAAGAGAACTGCAGTCCTGGCAGGGTCATGTCTCTCTTCCCCATTTCCTCATCTTCCTTACAATCATTTTTTTTGCTAATCCAGTTAATTGTCTGAGCTTCCTACTGGCAAATTCAATTTGCAGGGCTCTGCTCTGAAGGGGCCCTTTTTCTTTATTTTTTATTTATTTCTGTAACATCTTGGATTAATGGCTACAACTGTCCCCTTCCACTCACCTCTCCCAGAGGGAGCTTTAGCCGATAGAAGGGATAAGGGGATTGCACAGTTAATCATCCCTGGTGATAAACAAACAGGATGACAGAGGCCAGCAGGATCAGGAAAGCAGAAAGGAGTGCTCTGCCCTTTACACCACCAGGCTTCCCTGCTCCCACCTCAGCACTGCTGGAGCAGCACATCAGTGTTTGTCCACGGGCAGGTGTGTCTTTTTCCCAGGGGAAAAGAGACACAGCCTGGCAGTGATTCCCCAGCAACTCACAGGGACTGTGAGCAGCAGCTGGGACTCCTGGCTGCCAGCTGCACACATATTTCCCAGCTCACCTTGAGAGCTGTTCTACACAGGTTTTTTCCCATAACAGGAGAAAGGCAAACAGAAGCAATGCCCTTCAGGTCAGGCTGCTCTTTTCCATAGGAGCAAAGGGGAAGGGCTGAGCTGGCCCCTTCACTTACATGTGGAGTGGTTCCCAGCACAGGCATGTGATCCATTTGGAGTGGCCAGAGAGCACCCGGCCGATCTGGCTGCCAGTGGCTGGGTCCCAGAGAAAGATCTGTCCAAGAGAGGAAGCACGAGGGTCACGTCAGGCCACAGACATCATGTGAATCCCAGAGACATTGGAGCTCCATTTAGAAAGCAGAGGTGTCCTTGGGATCGTGTTTGCACTCGCAGGCAGCAGCAGGGGAAGGGGGCTGGATGCCTTTCCAAATCCCTGCAGCAATCAGCTGACACCCAAAAGAACTATTGCCCTTCCATCTGCCTAAAACGCTGCTGCTACAGTTATCTGACTCAACTCAAAAAAGATACAGGTCCCCACAAAGCCACCCTGTGCCAGAGACTCAGGCAGTGTTTGCAGAGCACAGTGAAAGCCACAGCTAAACGCTGCTGATTATCGGATGCTGTGGGTGGGACACATGCTGGTTTTCTCTTGTTGATTCTCTCTCTACATAAATGTTCATCTTAAGAGCCAAGGCATTAGTCATCTCCTACTAAGAACCTAGGAGAAACAGGGAAAAGGAGGACATGCAGCTCTCTGGGTTCAATTAAAGGCAGACCAGCACCAAATCATGGCTGAACCACCCTGGCCCAGGACATTTCCTTGGGATTAGCATCACAACTCTGGCAGCTCTGTGAGTGCTGTCATTGCTCCCAAACCATTTCAAGGTCAGAGAGAGCAACTGCCTCTTAGCAGCTCAGCTCCCATTTAACCACATGCTCCTGCTTCCCCAGGCATTTCTGCACTTCAAGCACACAAATTTTGCCCCACAGCGAGGGCTGAACTCCTTTCACATTTGTGCAAGAGGGAATTTGGCCACGTCTGTGTGGGAGCACGATGACCAGGCTGCTGCTGCAAGGCTGGATCATGCTAACAGCAGCCCTGACCTGTCCTCACTCCAGACACCTCCCTCGTGATGGAGCCACTGGCACACGACCACATCCAAAGCCTGGGCTCTTTCCTGGACAGAGGGAAAAGCGACTGCCACAAGACAGCAGGAGCTCCCCAGGGTGACAATGCCAGGGCACTGCCTGGCACTGAGAAGCTTCTCGCAATACTGTCACACACAAAGCTCCTCTAGAGAAGAGGAATCCTGCTCAAAACAATGGGATACAGGCCTCACACCCCTGAAGAAACAAGAAACGCCCCTAATCCCTCCCAGCCCCATGCTGAGGGAGCCCACGTGTACCTGGCTGTTCTTGCAGCCCGAGGCCAGTTTCTTGCCATCAGGTGACCAAGCAATGCTGAGCACCCAGTGCCGGTGACCTGGCAGAGAGAGCACGAGTGGGTGTGAGTGGAGAGCTGTGACTGTGACTGTCCCTGGTGTCCCAGCAGGAAGCCACTCTGTGCTCCTCCTGGCCAGATCCACTTTGCCAAAGAGAGCTACTCCCTCCCCAGGCTGCGGTGCCAGCCTGGACAGCTCAAACAGCAGCAGGCTCTGTTCTGCTTGTCCCCCAGGCAGACAGGGGGTCCATGAGGGAGGGGGTCACAGGTTGTCCTCCTGGCACAACCCAGCACCCACCTTTGGCTGTGAACTGCGGCGTTTCCGTGCTGAGGTCCCAGAAGCGGACAGTGGTGTCCCCAGAGCCGCTCGCCAGGTACCTGGGAGAGGAGGAACAGCTCAGCACAGTGTCCCCAGGACAGGACAAGGGCAGCTGCTGCCGTGCCCTGATCCCTGCCTGCAGCACACCCTCGTACTTTCCCGTGGGGCTGAAAGCCACGGAGATGACAGCCTCGGTGTGTCCCTCCAAGGAGCTGGTGCAGCGTGTCACGGCTCGCACCCTGAACACCGCCTGCGGCTGGTAGATGATGTCCAGGACCTTCTCTGTCTCCACGCTCTGCCCTGCCAGGGTCTTCTCCAGCGACGCCACGATCTCGGCATCGTGGACGAAGAAGGCCAGAGGCACCGGCTCATCCTGCGGGAGAAAGGGCAGGTGAGGCAGCGAGGGACGGCGCCGGATGCGTCTGGGGGCGCCGGGGAGTTCGGGAGGGGTCTCACCTTCTGTAGGAGGGCGTTGCAGACCAGCTGCAGCTTGTCCGGAGTGATGGTGACCGGGACATCGAAGGGGGAGCCCAGGCACTCCCCTGCCTCATCGCGGAACTGGATCAGGAGCCGCTGCACATCCTCCTCGTCCGGCGACATGTTCTGCGGGACAGCGGGCTCAGCTCAGCGCCGGGAATCCCACCGGGCAGCGGGCACAGCCCCTCACCCCGGCAGCGATACCCGCCGGGGGAGAAGGAACCTCCACTGGGGGACCCCGCACTGAGCAGGAGCCGCGCGGGGGAACCCCAGGAAAGGGCGAGAAGATCCCAGAGCGCCGCAGCACTCACACCCCTGCAGCTTCCAGGTGCCGCCCGTCCCGCTCCCGGTCTCGGTCCCGCCCATCCCGCTCCCGGTCCGGTCCCGGTCCCGCTCACCGCGGCCATGTGCGCGCGTTGCCCCCCGTGCCCCGGAAGCGGGCGGGGAGCGCCCGGCCGCGGCGCCGCTGCCCCCTGGCGGCCGGCGGTGAGCGCCGCGCTCGCCCCACGGCCGCGGGTTCGAGGCCGCGCACGGACAAATCCCGCGGGCCTGAAACCTCGGGGAGTAACGCCAAACGACTCAATATGGGCCGAGCTCTCACACACAGTCCGGCCCAAAGGTTAATGATACAGCCCTGAGCAATATCCATACCCAGATCTGGGAGCTGTAATACCTGAACATGCCCAGGATTAGTCGGGATCCTGCCCAAGAGGGAAACTGAGGCAGGAGTGCACTAAAATAGGCAGGAGTTTAGTGTGGTTCAATACTTCAGGACTATCCCCTGCCCCTTTACACCTTTCCCAGCCCAACTTCTGCCATGTCCTGTGACTGAACAACTTATTTACTATTTAAATAAGAATTAATCTTATTCACCACACTGCCATTAACATAATCCATTAAGAAACATGGGCAAAATTACCCCTAAAACTCACATAAAATCCCCATCCCATGTAACTTCAAACCCCATGAAAACAGAAAATCGACAAAAATTTTAATACTTATATATTTTAAATCAAAACACAATTAAATATAGTAGTTTTTAAGTACATGAACGCTTGGGTATGAGAGAAATAAGAGGTGGTACATAGTACCAAAAACCTATACACAGCCTTTTTTGCTTTTTCATAACAATACAGTGTGTCTCTATACAATCAAATATTGCAACAGAATAACACTTTCTAGTCAATCAAGATATTCTGAACATTGGAAATGATTTGAATTCTTCGCATAGTGATTTCTTTGCACAAGTTTGAGGAAAAAAGCAATCATTAGAGTAAAAAAAAAAAAAAAAAGACCCAAAATAAAAGTGTTGTATACTAAAAATGCAGCAGTAACAATGGTGAGACACTGAGTACTTCTGCTACCCTGCAAAATCGATTTGCTGGGGAAAAAAAAAGAGGTGCTGTGTAACATGGTAAGTGTTGACAGTGTCAGGAAGAAGGCCAGAGGTCATTAAAAACTGTTTTCTTTGTAAACCAAACATCTGGAATTAGAGCCTACATTGGGTGGAGGACAACAAGCGATGGAGAATGGCAGCAATTCCTTTTTTCCTTGCTCGTGGGATGGTGAGGACGGGAAGTGGAGCAGTCTGCAGGGTCCAAGGTGAGAGCAGAGGGGCTGCAGGACCAGCCTTGGATCTGCCCCGTGGTGGAAGCAGGGGAGGTGTGTGTGTGTGTGTGTGTCTGTGCAGGTGTAGGAGCTCAACAAGGAGGAATTCCTGATCCTTCTACGCTGCCTTCGAAGTTAATGCAGTTATGAAGTAAAATACATTTATTTTACAGTTGAATACTCATCTATTTCAAGTAACGGAAAATTAAACTTAGAACTTTCCAGGTCATTCACTGCCAATGGATTTGCCCCACAGCCCTTCCAATTCTGTGTTTAAAAATTACAAGCAGTAGAACCAGAAACTACAGCAAAACCTTCCCCTCTGTTTTGGCCCCTGTGTCCCATTGCAGATATTTTGCTTGAAGGGTTTTTTTTTTTGAGATTGATTTCACAAATACTTGACCCTATCACAGTTTCTCAGTGACACATTTGTAAACTGCATCTTCATCTCAGAACCATCATTACTGTGAATGCCACATACACCAGGGAAAAGTGTTTCTTCACTCTCTACAGTGGAGGTCCAGGATGGCTTCTTTTTCATTCTTCCTTAGAAATGAGGGGAATTCCAGCTGTTGGAGTAACAGTGCTTTGTTTTTATTGGCTGTGTTAAAGAATCCACCAATAGGGAAAGTTCACTCCTTCTCAAAGTGGAAAACCAGATTTCCTGTCCTGGAGTTTCTAAAATCATAGCTGGAAAAGGGAAAAGCAGTTCATTTCACCCTAAAACATGCAAGGTAATTGTTTAATAGAAAGACATTTTGTGTTTAAAAACGTTGAAGCCAGGTTTGTTTGAGTTTGGGGGAGAAAAAAAGCCCCAAATCTAATCCAAACACACTCAACCTTTTGATTACTTGCTTAATTGAATCCAGAGCATCTGCAGTCATTTGAGATTTCTATATACTGTGCTGAGTGACCTTTTCATCCAGGCAGACTGAAATTTTATCATTTGCAGCCAAGCTATTAAGTGAAGTCATTATACAAGTCATTTAAATGTTACTGCTCTATTAGAAAGAAAACACTCCCACAGTGAAACGATGGATCCACCCAACTGGATCAAAAAACTGGGCTTTGGCACATGTTTACTTTCACTAACCTAACATAATGCAAGTTCATTTTTAGAAATTCACATGCCTGAAAGTCAGAAGTACCAGACATTAACTTGGTAACCCGCTGTCACCAATATTTCACAAAATCCAACTACTGCCTCAGAACTGGGTATTTTTTGGACAGAGAACACATGGGCTGTAGAACACCACAGCCACTAAGCAACAATACACAAACTTGTGGACAGGGTTACCGTGTCTTTTTAAAGTCTGGAGGCAGAACTGTGTAAATGAGAGCACCCAATGAGACAAATTCACAGCTGTTGAGTTTTACTGAACTTCAAGCAGAAATACCACTACTGACTAAGAGGAAACAGCAAGTGTGAGCTCAAGTCAGGAACTACACTTCATCCTGCAGCACAGATCACCCTTTTAACTAATTAGGCAGTTTGTAGACTCAAACTCAGACAAGTTTAATGCTTGCACAGGAGAACCACCACAGACATCTGTTAAGAAATTCTTACATCACACGTAGGCCGAAACGCTTCCAAACTTTGTTTCTTCCTCTCATGCTCTGCTGGTTTGAACATTTACCAGCGTGGGTTTCAGGCACAGGAGGAAGGCAAGTGAGAGCTCTGCTCCTCCCACAGCCTGGCTGGAGCCAGATGAAGACAGCAGCTTTTCCACCCCCCTACCTTGCTGACCTTCTCCAAAGGCTGCTCACACTGCGCCTGCTGCATGACGTCGTTGACAATCATTTTTGCTATCCTCCAAGCCATCTCTTCTTGAGCCTGAAAAACACAGATAGCTTCAGGTTCTTAAAAGAAAAACACAGTGCTCTCAGCACAGCCTTGGAGTCAGGGTAACCTTCACAACTCCATAACCTGTATAAACATATCCTCCCTCCACTGAAATGCACCCGGCTTCCAAGTACAGTGTTAATTTCAATTATTGTACTTAAGGCTTGATGCAATTCCCAAGAGAGTTAGTGGAGATTTTAGATTTATCTCTTGGGGATTTGTCCAAGCCCCTCAGAGGGGGAAAAATGCAGCCTGGAATCCATGTGCAGTGGTCACTTCACCATAAAAATCAAACAGCACTTCTACCCCTACTCATAGCTATATAAAACCACAGTAAGAAAAACCCTGACTGCAAGCACACACTTAATTAGTTCAACTAGAAAGCACTGGCAAACTAGTTTCACACATACATGCAATCAAATTATATTTAGCACACACTCTCCCTGTTCTTGATGCAGCAAAAAAGATACTCAGAGATAACAGCCACGATTCAGAACATCAATACTTTATTTCTCTGAAGTGTAAAGTCACAAGGAGAACATGAAAGAGGACACACCTCATCTGTATTTCCTTGAACCCATTTCTTCATTGCTTGTGAAAACATGGACCCTGGTTGAGAAAAAAACAGCAAGTAAGGTATGTCAGTAAAGTGAGGTAGGAAGCTGACTCCTGTCACCCTTCTGAAGGGTTTGCTCTGCTGGCATTCAGGACACAGAGGAGAGGCAGGAAAGACAAGGGACTGCCTGCAGCCATTTGGACACAGCCTTTCCCAGAGCTGAAAAGCAGCAGCAGCAGGTCCCAGCCTGGCTGGGAAGCGTGTGGAGAGCTGCAGTTCTTTTTCATCTCAAGACCAAAGCTTGGAAGGTTTGATCACCAGCTCAGCTGCTGACGTTTCCATCCCTGCCAGGTTCCATCGACAGCTCCAACTCCCACTGGCTGCTCCTGCTCCCCGGAGTCCAGCTGGACCAGAAAAGCAGAATTTGGGTAGGAAACTGTGCCAGAGATGGGTTTTGCCTCAGTACAGGCCAATCCCTACAGCATCTCTGTTTGGCTTAAAACAGATCTGGAAAGAGTCAAACACTTTGCCTATCTTAACTCCAGCAGGGAAGAGAGCAGCTCTGCAGGTGTTTACAGAACTGGAGACAAAGAGCAAAGCAAACCTTTTGATTTTTTGACATCAGGCTCTGGTTCAGATTCTCTGATGAACTGCCCCAGGTCACTGACTCTTCCAAACGTCATCTTCCTGAGGAGAGGAATGAAGAACCACATGGGTGATCCAAAGAACTTCGGCTTTATGGAAAGCTATATCTGGCTATATACTTGGCTACATTTTGGAATCAAAGAGGAACAATAACTAAGAGGAAGAGAAAAGCCAATTAGAAATACTTTCCTGGCTGCCATTTTGGTCAAAGAAACATTAACTGGGTGTTAAATCACGCTACTGAAACAAAGTTACTGTCAAATATTAAACCATGGAGTTAGATCTTGCACTTAGGCCTACTCTCCATGCAGGAGGACACAGCAAAAATGAAACAGAGGTGAAACATGTAACCAGAAAGGAAAAAATAGAGTGAAATGAACCTTACCCTGCATATGTTCGTTGATACAAAGATTCTGGATCCAGACTTGCAGCATCTACAATTATTGCTTCATCAAAATTTTTCAGGATTTTAACATTAGCCTTTTTGACATTGGACTACAAATAAAAATTCTAAGTATTAGTGCCCAATGCAGATAACTACCAGCTTCTTAACAAAACTGCAATTTTAGTGCTTTTAACACAGATAAACCTCCATCAAGTCTCTAAGCAAGAGTATAAAAGAATCAGTGTGTCTAGACAGCCTTGAATTCCCAAATCACAGGAATTGTTTTTAGCAGAGGATGATAAAATTATGTGGACAGGGCCAAAGACACAAAGCCCATGTCAGCACACGCTGCTGCCTGAGCTTTATCAGCTCAACAGATCCGTGTGTACTCACAAATCATTTGTTGTGAGTCTGGA